TCTATCTGTCTGTCTGTCTGTCTGTCTGTCCGTCCGTCCGTCCGTCCGTCTCTCTGTCTGTCTGTCTGTCTGTCTGTCTGTCTGTCTGTCTATCTATCTATCTATCTATCTATCTATCTATCTATCTATCTATCTATCTATCTATCTGTTCATTTTGTATACTTCCGAAGATTAATCACCTGAAAACATCCCTGTCTCTCTGTCCCCCAATGGATTAGAGATCTATTATTACTTGCCATTTTTCCAAGAACATGTGCCAGCAGCTGCAAAAATAAACACCAACCCTAGACTGAGAGAAAAGAGCGTCCAACTCATAGCCTGAGGTGTTTTTCTTTCAGCCAACCTGCGCAGCGAACCTCATCCCTGTCCGAACACCACAGATGACCGCTGATACACAAACACGTCTGTTTGGGGTTAATTTAGCGAAAAAGAAAAGCAGGGCAGCATGTGAGATCCTGACAGCCTTGACCCAGGTGTTTTTTGATTGCTGACATAGCACTGACACAGATAAAGGGTTCATAATAACACCAGGAACATGCTTTAAAGGGGTCATACGATGCTGCTAAAAAGAACATTATTTTGTGTATTTGGTGTAATGAAATGTGTTTATGTGGTTTAAGGTTAACAAAACACATAATTTTTTACATACTGTACATTATTGTTTCTCCTCTATGCCCCGCCTTTCTGAAATGCGTCCATTTTTACAAAACTCATCAGTCTGAAAAGCGAGGTGTGCTGTGATTGGCCAGCTATCCAGTGCGTTGTGATTGGCCGAATACCTCAAGCGTGTGATGGAAATGTTACACCCCTTACCATACTGTGATGCCCTGTCCGGCCGGAGCAACGATTCAAAAACATGAAAACCCATTATAAACGAGGCATTTGTTGCATCCAGTGGGGACATAATTACGGATTATAATGACTTATACTGTCTTTTTACGCGTTGCGTTGCATCTTGCCGCGTAAACATAAAACCATGTCTGCATTTGTGATCGGAGAAATGACAAACAACAAGCACTACTGTACACTGCTCAAAACTCGCGTTTGAATCATCAGTGGCAAATTCTTTAAATATGAAAACGTACTTACAGTCTGTGAGTCAGAACAGCCGGCATTGTAGTCTACAGTCTGAATATTCTGAATATTTGGGTTGAAGTGTTCTGGAACAGTGTTGTAAATACAACTTAACCACTGATTTCTAGTCGTGTCCTCTTTTGGAAGGCTAAACAAAGTAGTTTCGCTTTCACAACGAAACA